CACTGGGAAAGGATGTTTCGGGGATCACCTGTGTCTGATCCGCAAGGAGCCAACGCCTGAGTGCCACCACTGCGATGGCTAGACCGTGGACACGGCTCTCCACACGCTGGCAGAGTGCCCGGCGTGGGTTGAGCAGAGGCGAGACCTCGTGGCGGCCATGGGAGTGGGAGTTCTCTCGCTCGATAGCCTGATTGCGGCTATCGTGCGGACCGACAGTGCGTGGAACTCTGCCGTCTCCTTCTGCGAGCAAGCTATGCTCGCGAAGGAGACGGCGGAGCGGGACCGGGAGAGGTTTAGGACTCTCCCGGCCCGCCATGCCCGGGAACGGGCCAGGTACCGCAGGCGACTCAGGCGCCGGAGGTCGCAGAACGACCTCCGTCCTCCATAAGCGCAGGCCTGGGGGTGACAGGTGAGGCCATCTGTCACCCTAGCAGAAGCAGGCCGGGGTGGCGGCGAGCGCGTTGCCAAGCGCGCTCGCTTCCAGGGAGCACAGGGAACATGGGGTTCCCACACGGGGGGGGGGGGGTCGTCTACTCGTCTGTAGATGACCCGAGGTATGTCGGGGCACCAGGGACTTCCTTTCTAGGGTATACCTGGTTCCCCGGCTATTAGTACCCGAGACGGCGTGCGGTTTTAGTCGGTACGAGTCCGACATGTCACCGACAGGTGGTATCCGAGGGGATTTCCGCACGGAAAAAAAAAAAAAAAAAAAAGTTGGAGGAAGATGGTTTGGGCTCCGGCTCACTCACTCACTCGCTGAAAAGCAATAAAAGCAACACTTAACACCGGTTGTTTGTGAAGCCCTGGTATCACTTCAGTCAAGCCTGGCCCATTTGTGTCAAAAGATGGCTCTTGAACTCTGTTTCTGGACTCTTCAGGTGCAGGTCTCTATGGGCGGCGATACTCGCTTACCATGAGTTGACCCGTCTGCTCGTTTGCCCTGTACCATAAAAACAGAATTAAAATAAAATAATACTACGAGTAAATAATTAATTTAATTAATTATTTTGTTATTTAAAGGTGGCAAGACTGGCAAGTATTGGTATTTGCCACATGCCTTGTATTTTGCCTTTTCATGTTGTGTATGCTTAATTTGGATCACTGTCTAGACTTACCATGTACCTATCTCCTAATATTTCCTGTAATATATAATGACAGTAATCTGCAAGCGTCCCTTTTAGAAATAAATAAATAAACCAAACAAAAAGAACATTAAAAGTCTTTATAAAATGGTTTATAAGCCGTAAGTACTATGGTAGTATGCCTAAAAGCTCTCTTCAAAACTACAATATTTTCGTTTTTTTTTCATAAATTTTGCACGAATGGCGTAGTGGTTTAAGCGGTCGCCACGCTGCTTCCTACTACGCTGAGTATTGTGGGTTCGAACCTCACATGGGACCACACTTTGTGTGATCCACAAATTGTTGTTCTGAGTCTGGGTGTTCTTTGTGTTCCTTTCATGTATGTTTGTAAAGTCCCCCGCGACACGAGATATATTCCTAGTGCGGGAGTTGTCTTTAAAAAATATATATATGAGTAAGTATATCATAAATGATATATCAGTTACCTATTATAATATTTAAATAACTAGCTTATGCCCGTGGCTTCGCCCGCCTCTATTACGGTAAAAAAGTAGCCTATGTTACTCGTTGATAATGTAGCTTTCCATTGGTGAAGGAATTTTTAAAATCGGTCTTGTGGTGAAAGCGTAACAAACAAACACACTTTCACATTGATAATATAGGTATGAATTAAAGAAACGTATACTTTATAATAGGTGGCTGTAGTAAGATTCATTATATATGCTAGAGGTATATCTAAATCTAATGAATAAGCTAATAAGATACTGTTGCTTAGTCTGTAGTGGTTTCTTTTTGTTTCTGGCGTATAGAGTTAAAAACTCCAGGAGTAGAGTAATTTACTTTTATAGGCAACGGTAACAAGGCCCCAGCGGATGCCATGTTCTTGTTACCCAATTTAAGAGTTTTCAAATAAGATTTTCATTTAAATAAGGTTCCTTCTTTTTTCTAATTCAAATTTCAAGCTCAATATCATTATTTCAAGAAATTGATCTTATTAAATAACCATACTTTATATTATAAATACGAGAATGTGTTTGTTTGTTTGCTACGCTTTCACGAGTAGATCACTGACTGATTTCAAAAATGCATTATCAGCGAGTAAAAGACTACATTTTAAAGCGATAACTGACATACACACGGGCGGTTCCACGGGCAATAGCTAGTATTCAATAAAAAGTTATAAACCAACACATAGTCACCGCAACTAGAGGTAAAATTATTAACAACATTTTATCAAATGTCAAGTATTACGATAAATGGGCAGTAGATACTAACATGGCTGTTATGTCGCTCTTTAAAATTAAATTTACTTTCAAACGTCAAACATTTTTTTCTTCAGACTTCAGATTGAGCTCTAGCCTTCATCCTTCCCAGGTACCAGAAAAGCAGGTCCCGGGTAGAATATAAAAAATAGAGACTTATAAATATTCAAGGTAAGTATTTAATTAACAAAGTTCCTGCCAAGTCCGTGGTCGGCATAAAATATAAATGTTGGAATGCCAATATAAAATTTTAAGAAAATCTTCTACGTGATTTTAATATTGCAGTGGTTGAGAGACTTATATAAATGCAAAACTGGTTTCAAAAGCCCAGGTAACTATTTCGTTTATTACCTTTGTGAATAATAGGTCAGCCAGGGGTTGAAATTTGCAGTAGTTCATTACATTTGTATTTTGATAAACTATCAACATATATAAAATTCTTCTGTTAATTAATTATAACTCATGATATCTTTGTATGTGCCTATATAACTTGAACCGACAACCGTTGGGGAAAAAGAGTTCTTGAGTGGAGACCGCGTCAAGCCCCCAGACCAGGTGGAGTGACGATTTGCGCAAGATGGCTGGCAGGAGCTGTATGCGAGAAGCCCAAAATCGATCTAAGTGGCGTGCAGTGGGAGAAGCCTTTATCCAGCAGTGGACTGCGATAGGCTGATGATGATATAACTTGATTCACAATAGTTTGTATAAGGGGGATACTATTGTTATATGAAAATTAAACAATAACGAGGGATTGACGTTCCATCAAACAATAACGAATATATCGAATATCGATCGAGAATCTGAAGTACAAGCTTTTTTAGTTCTTGGATTTCTTTCAGCTGTGTTTACTGCTTCACCACCACCACCGACAGCCCCTAATAGTACACTGCTGGACATAGACCTCTCCTTAGAATTTAGGTTTTGGCCTACTATACCACGCTGGCCAGACGGGTTGGTAAAGGGCTTTTTTCAAGGTTTCCTTCTTTTTGCAATGCTGTTGTTTTTTTTCACATTTTGCTCCCTTACGACACCCAGGGGATGATTAGGGATGGTGATACTCTGTATTCTTAATCTGCCACCACACGGATAAACACTTACTGCTTAAAATTTGATAACTAGTCTTCTTTGTAGTTAGTAGTGATTGCTGTTTTGTAGTAACGTTGTGTGGACATCATTCTATTAAAAAAAATTACTATGACTTTTTGGCGGATCTTCATGATTGAAGTCAAGTAGTTCTTTTTTAACCGTTGGGTTATAAGATCCTAACATTTTTTAATGACGGGCATCTTCAAAATAAGTTACGAAAACATATTGATTGAGGATAAGATTTCGTGTTATTAGTTTTGCAGTGTATCTAAGTCACTTTGCGCTACTAACGAGATCTAGACGTCTGCGAAGTAAAAAAAGTGTAAATTTGACTCAATGTGGCATTAAATGTAACAATTTTGTGCCCTTGTGTGAGACCTATTACTCAAAGAGCGTAAATTGACAACTATAGTAAGAATGCTGTTCTTACTCCCTTAGCTAACTGTGATAATGATAATTTTGACATTTACATCTTCCACCTCTCAAAAAGTGTCTTTAATTAGAAATAGGATAGAATATTTGTAATTACCTATGTTTTAAGTGGTACACGTAATTTTACTTTTCGGGTAACTTTATTATTGGCAAAGAGTCCATCGCAATGTTTAACTTCACCCATAGCTGTTAAGTTGCCGAATATATTTTTTTTTCTATAGCAGTATTCTGGATTGGATTGCGAAGTCTGCATTAAAAATATATATCAGAGAGGCTGGTGTACTCGATTGTCACGGTGACAACTCTTCACCAATCACAATGCCAAACGCACTCACTCATAGCAGGTAGGTAGGTACTTTAGTACTTCATATTACTTGAATTGTTCTCTTGCAAGCTTGTTTATGTCCCTTTACTAGTCATTTCTTTATTAATAGGGCGGACGTAGGAGTCTGATACCCCTCAGACCACAACTCACCTGCGGATTGATCGGTCTTAGCAGACCGGAAATCAGAATGGTTGTCGGAACTATTACAGAACATCTAGCCCTGAACCGACAACTATTCATCATCAATTCGACGGACAGTCCCCTGTGCAGGGGATGTCTGGAAGCTGAAGAAACGGCCGTCCACGTAATCCTGGAATGCGAGGGAGTGGCCACACAACGGGCAAGTATCATTCCCGATATAAAGTCGCTCCTAGAAGCCTGTGAACGCCCCAGGAGGCTTCTGCGCTTCTGGAAGGAGCTTGGCTGGCTCACCTAGTCAACCAATCCTCGACGCATAAAGGACCACTCTGAGTCTAAATGCGGAAACCGAAGCCCACAACCAATACCAATACCCCTCAGAACTCCTTTAGTAACAATCTCGTACCAAATTCGTGACTTGCTGTATCTTTCATCTATACATTTTACTTCATCATCATCATCAACAACAGCCTTTAGTAGTCCACTGCTGGACATGGCCTCTCCTTAAAAAGGAGGTTTTGGCTTACTTACCGTGATTGAACTATTTCTTCTGTCTTGTCTGAAAGATGATAACATTACCAAAGAAGATTAGACAAGTACACGGCCGTAAGCGAAATAACTCTTCTTCTAAGATTTAGGAGCATTCACAATAAAAATACAAGGATATTTCAACATTTACTCCTTACCTTCAGTAAAATAACCACCATACACAGGAATTAGTCTAATTATATCATGTGAGTTTGAATAAATTAGATTGTTAGAACTATCAAACGTTATACCCAATACACTCTGTGCGTTAATCACTTTCTTAACTTTCTGAATCACACTTGTTACAACAAAGATCCCGTCTTCACTGCAAACATACACGAATCCATTATTATCCGTAGTTATTCCAAGAAATTTCGGATGATCCCTCAATAAAATAGGCTGGTCATCATTATTTTTAATACCAAATAAACCGGTACCGTTTATAAAAAATATATTGTCATCCTTATCCAACACAAATTGATGAACTATGTTGTCTTTGAGCTCCGGCACTGGTTTCACATTCTTGTTAGTATAATAAAAAGCGATCAGACTTGGAAATTTGATAAAATATATATGATTTTTTATAAATAGCCACCAAATGTCCAAATTGTTGAAATTTAACCTCTGCAAAAGCTTTTTATTGGCGTTGTACTTATAGATGCCGTGACTGCCGCCAAAATACATATCACCTGTAGCATTGTCATTGGCTATGGCAAAAGCATCTTTAACACCTTTTAAAACACTAAGAGATTTGGTCTCAATATTGAGGATAGCTGGCACGTATTCTCCTTGGCCGAAATCGAAACTGAAGTACAACGTGTTTGTAGTTTTGTCCACGGAAAGTTGGTTGGGACTGTGTGGAATACTCGTCAAAGTTTCTTTCACGTAGCAGTGCTTTGTTGGGTCATTGGAAACTATGTCGCAGTACTTTCGGGGGGATTTCGCTTCGATAGTAGTTATTATAAAGATGAAGCAGAAAAGCTTCATTCTCTCTCTCTTTCCAACGCTTGTGAATGATAATCGATAAGTTCGGGATTAAAATGTTAAAATTGCACTTTTAAAGTTGGATTTGATTCGCTGTACAACTATCCTTGAAATTAAGTTGCAGAATCTGTCTTAACGTTGCTTATGAATTGGATTAAGCACTTTTAAACTAAGTTTTTAGTCTACCAGTTCTTCAATTTTTGAACTAATCTTTTATTAATAAGTGGGTACACTTTGGAAACCATTTTATCTTTAAAGAAAGGTGAGATTTTTATTCGTTAGCACGCGTAGGAAGCACGTTAGTCGTCTTAGCTTGACTAACGAGACAACAATGAGTGACAAACAGACAGATAATAAAAGTTACTTCTCACGCAAGCAATGTCATTATTTGTAAATATTACAGCAAATGTTGTTATTATAAATTGATCTTTAGTCAATAGTCAAGGCGCTTGAGTAGTGGGTGACAGTTTTTATATATTTCATCATCATTATCATCATCAGTTTGCCATCACAACCAATCTATGGAACGAGTCATCGTCTGCGGTATTTCCGGACCGATACGACCTTCAAACCTTTAAGATAAGAGCGTACTCCTTCCTAAAAGGCCGGCAACGCGCTTGAGACTGCTGAGTTGCAGGCGTTCATGGGCGGTGGTAGTCAGTTTCCATCAGGTAACCTGTTTGCTTGATTGCTCCCTCTTCAAAAAAAAGGTTCATCATCAATAGCCTATAACAGTCCACAGCTGGACATAGGCCTCTCCTTAGAAAGGAGGTTTTGACCTACTATTAATATAGGATTTGTTTCAAGTTTTTCTTCTCTTTGCAGTGCTATTGTTCTGCGTAGTTTGTTCCCTTAGTCGGGTCTTACGATACCCACGGGATGGTGATGGTGATGATGAATAGGGGTGGTGACATTCCGTATTCTTAATCCGTCACCACACGGAAGGATGAAAAAGGTTATGTCTGATTACTTTGTGGTTAGTCGCCTGCCGGAAACCAACGCTCGTAATGTGATCGTTATTTAGTTCACAGTAGATCACAGTTTAGTCTGGACTATCTATTTTATCTATACTATTTTTTTAATTATTTTAGACTTGGCAATTGTCAGAGTCCTTTATTTTCTAGTGAAAGCCAATTTAAGCTACAAATATGCGACTCGGACTTGCTTCAGCCATTATTTACACTTCTCAGATGATTAGTATAGGCAACATCCACTTACTGCCATCGCCACCTCTTTTTAATTAACTTTCTTTTTCTATGTATTGTTAATTTTCCCAATTTTAATTTTAAGACACTGGTTGAGTAGTGCCCTATTATGTTTTATTATTATAATTATGATTCTATTATGATTATGATTTTTTAAATTTGTATCTTTTAACCGGGGAGTAACTTGAAAAATATCTGTCTGTCGATAAATAATAAGTCATTTACCTATGAACTTGGAGATTTTAAAAATTAACATTTTCATATTTAATTATCTGTGGATTGGTGCGTAATTCGAAATTTAAATAAATTGTATTCAAAAGCCTATTTATTTTAATTTAATCTGTGGATTGGTGCGTAATTCGAAATTTAAATCAATTGTATTCAAAAGCCTATTTATTTTAATTTAACATTTAGTCATTTGTTTAAGATAGTGTTTTGTTTTTGTAAAATTGTGGTAGTTTTCAGCGTCAGGAATAAACTGAAAATTTGTTCAATTCTCGAATATGAGTTTCTACGTGGCAATACCGCTGCGCAAAGAACACACAATATCAACGACGTGTACGGGCTCTTACGCGTCGAAGCATGCAATCGGCATAAAAACGGGGGAGGTGAATTCTGAATCGAATTGTTACCTTCGAAGAAAAGTAGATCCTGTAGGACAATCGTAAGCGTTCGTCTCAGTGAATGGACCCTAGTACAGCACCTCATCAGTGGGCTAAAGATTACCCATAAGAAGATGATGGTGACTGTCTGGTGGACCAGTACTGGACTTGTACATCACAGATTCTTACCGAGTGGCACAACAGTGACAGCAAAGGTCTATTGCCAAGAATTTCAAACAATAACCATAATTTTATATAATATTTTAAAATTTTCATACGAATGTCTTCATAGGTAAAGACATTAGGTCTTTATTTATTTTACTTCAAAAAGAAATGTTTCGAGAAATTTATAGACATTATGTCAGTTGTAGTGTAAACATGCTTTGATAAACATTCTTTCTTTCTTTCTTTAAAAAAGACAACTCCCGCATTAGGAATATATCCTGTGTCGCGGGGGACTCTACAAACATACATGAGACGGACACAAAGAACACCCAGACTCAGATCAACAATTTGTGGTTCTCACAAGGTGTCGTCCCATGTGGGATCGAACTCACAACACTCAGCGTAGTAGGAAGCGGCGTAGCGACCGCTTGAACCACTACGCCATCCGTGCAATCATGTTTCGTTCATGTTTCAAGATGTTTCGTATTATTTTACATGCATTTAATTTAAATAAGGACAGACTTAAATTTTTTACCTTTTATTATTTTGAAACCTTTGTCAGTAAGCTCTTGTCCTAGAGACGTCTGTGTGGATAAAGACAAGATGTAATTTGAGCTAATTGTTTTTGTTTTTCTCACTCCTTGAGATGTCAGAAGTAAACATTTAAGAACCAAAATATAAATATCTCGATGTTTTGTAAGTAACATTACAAATGTAGATAACATTATAATGAAATTTTAGCCAGGAAACCGCGTACGCATTTGAAATGCGTACTCTTGTTTTATCCCGTAAGTGTCGTCATATTACACCCAGACACAGAACAAACGATTGCTTATCACACAAATATTTGTCCTGGGTGGGAATCGAACCCACGACCTCCGATTTGGCAGTCAGAGTCACTAATCACTGAACCAACAGGCCCGTCAGTGTGTTTATTTCTTACGTTTAGATAGTACAGGCTCTGACTAATTAGGGATTACAGCTAACCAATAAAAGGGTAATGGTAACTGTTTGGTGGTCTCTTCATGGTGTTATTTACTTTAGCTTTCTCAGGTTTGGACAGGCAATAACAGCAGATGTTTACTGTGCCGAACTTTGAACAATGATGACGAAACTGGCAGTAAAACCGGCCCGGCTCGAGAATCTATCTTCACCATTATTGCTCCATGATAATGCAAAAACTCACACTACACGAGAAAGCGTTGTAGCTTCACAAGAGCTGCAGTTAGAAACCATACATCACCTCTATACTCATTTTTTTGATAAAACATATTCTTCCGTGTAGTGACGGATTAAGAATACGGAACGTCACTACCCCAATTCATCTCGTGGGTGTCGTAAGAGCCGACTAAGGGCGCAAAACAACGCAGGACACCAGCACTGCAAAAAGAAGGAAAACTTGACACAAACCCTATACCAACCCGTCTGGCCAGCGTGGTATAGTAGGCCAAAACCTTCTTTCTAAGGAGAGGCCTATGTCCAGCAGTGGACTATTAAAGGCTGTTGATGTGATTGATGTGATATTCTTCCCAGGAGGCAGTACAAAATGCTTTCACACAGTTTGTCGAATCTAAATCCCCAGAGTTCTATCATAAAGGCATAAATGAACTTCCGTTTACATGGTAGGTAAATATTTTATTTAATTAAATATGTTAGTTACATCTTAGAAAAAAACGAGTTTAGATTTTTTAGTACAAATCGCCAATTTCATACTTCAACCCCTAATATTGAAACTTCAAACAAATCATCAATCATCATAAAATCATTTCTATAATGGCAACCGTTTCCCAAAAGCATAACTCTTAAGTAATGCCAAAAATATGGTTGAATCTGATTTATTCGCATAAATAAACATACCAAGTAGTCCTAAATCGATGTAAAAAGTTCAACATACCGCTGTTGAAGTTTTATCAAATACCTTCTCGCATCATCATTTGGCGGGCGCTAAAATATTATCTAACTCGGATCCATTGTAAGCGGAATTTAAAACAAGTGGAAACATAATTTATTTCCAAAGTTTATATACTACGTTTAGTAGGCAACAGGATTCTTTGATAGTATAACATTCACTTGACATGTGTTGTATTAACACCGTGTTGTAACATTGAAATAAAGATATACGTCTGATAATCCTTACGACTTTTCATAGCTCGTGTTAGCCTTATAGAGTGTACAAGAGCCCCAATGTTGCAACGGAATAGCAACGACTGCACGGATAGCGTAGTGGTTGAAGCGTCCACGCAGCTTACTACCACGCTAAGTGTTGTGGGTGCGATTTCCACATGGGACAACCATTTGTGTGACGACACTTGCCATCTTTTTTAATCCTACTAGACCTTTTACACCAAAGATGGGCACGGCGTAGATAGATATTTTGCCATATAAATTTCAATTCTCGCTCAGCCCTTACAAGCCTTGCCTCGCCGGTGTAAGCCCACCTTAACAGTTGGGTTAAACAGCGGCAAGGTGACCGCTAAAACCACAACGCCATCCGAGCAGTCCGTTTTCTTTGTTTCTGTAGCCTTAAACCTTACGCCTGTTATGTTCTTTTAAATCAGCAGCACTTAAAACTACCACAAAGATTTTATATCTTGTGTAAGTGCCTTATGTAAATTAATTAAAAACGAACGTATATTTTACAGCAGGCTAGTGGCGTCTAGTGGTGTGCTCTTAAGTACACTGCAGGTAAAAAAAACAGGTAACAAATTAAAGTTTATATATATTTTACTCATTTCATCGTGGGAGAGTCATCCTTCGGTATAAATGGGCCGCTTCGGACGGAGTAACACCACGGCCTTACTGAAGAAGAACGAGAAAATAAACTTTTTGTTGTTTTTCACTGAGTAAGTGAGGTTATTGGAGCCAAAATCTCTCTCCCTGACTCTCCGCTCTTTGAGTGTTTCGGTAAATGCTCGACTTACAAACACCTCATCAAAGATTTCCACGCACACCAGCATAGTAAAGTTGGCTCTTTTATTTCAAATGTTTTGCAGTGCGATAATCAACCCAGACATTGAAATGATCTAAGCAT